TATAAAATTAAAATTTTCCTTGTATTTATTCATTAAATTTAAAATGAGAAGATTAAGAAACTGATTAGGTTTAATAATAATAATAATAAATAAATAAATAAAAAGTAAAAAAATTATTAAAAAAATGTTTGAAAAATAGTGACGAATCGAAAATAAATTTTATCAAATTTTTGTGTCACACGTTCAAAGTTTAGCTCGTTCTACTCAAAATTATAATCGAACGAGAACGAGAAAGATAATACCTATGAGAAGAATACATGATCTGCTCAACCGGGGTCGGGGCGGCGATCCTCCTCCGCCTCCTCCTCCTGCAGCCATGGCAGCAGAGGGAAGACTAGAAGGTAAGGGTAGGTTGAGGTTGGAAGTTGCAGAGAACAATGGCGGTGGAAAACAGAGAAGACTGTTTTGTTCTGTGGGCAAATACTGATCGGGCCAACGTATATATATATCCACCAACCAAACAAAAGCCAATTCCATTTTAATAATAAATATCTTTAAAGTTTTTTATTTATTTATTATTATTTTTTATTTTATTTTGAAAGACCAGAAAAAAAAAAAAAAAAAAAAAGGAAGTTGTCGTTGGCGTTGCATAAAATCAGATTAGTAGTGACTGTCTCTTGGTTTCATGCATGTATACGTCACTTCCCAATGTTTTGGTACATCCCACTCCACGTGCTACATCACCTGCCACGTGGATGCCTTCACCATGGGTTGTTCTTCCCTCCTTTTGTTCATTATTGTAAATGATGTTATATATATATCTCTTTTAAATTCTGTTTCTAGCAAGTCTCGATAATTTTTTCTCTGCAACATGTAACTTTGAATTCTTTATGATATGCACTGAAATAAGTTTGTATGAGTGAAAAGAAAAGACAATTAAAATGTGGAAATTGATCTTATTTAATCAGAAAAGATGGGCATTCTATCTTTTTATAACTATCGGTAAAAGAATTGAAATTAAGATATTTAACGATACCCACTTTATATTAATTAATTTTTGTTACTCATTGGCCTTCAAAATGAAAATAAAAACTATATATTAAAAAAATATATAGGAATTTGGATTTTTAAGGTTGGTTGGTTTGACTTTATACCATTTTTAAAAAAAACACATATTTTTAGTTGACTTTAATTAATTCAACTTTTAAGAAGGTTAATAACTATCGTAGTTTTTGACTTTTTAAATGTATAAAGTTTTAGAAAATTTAAATGTAATCCGTATTTTTTCTATTATTTCATAATTAATTAGTATAACTATATAGTTTACCTACAAAATTGATAACTTCTTTAGGAAATTTAAGAATATAAACCAAAAATTAATATATAAATATAGTAATGTCCAGACTAAAAACTAAATTGGATGAAATACTTTTATTAAATCTGAAATATTAATAGATAAAATAAATAGCATTTTATGAATAAAAACAATTATATATCTTTATTGTCGTTGATGAATTTTTTATAATAAAACCAAAAATAAAATGAATCTATACTCAAAATAAATAATGTGACGTGGGACATGATCATAATATAAAAAACATAAAAATGGAATTATAATTTGGAAATATCCACAATTCATACATGTTTTCAATATATATATATATATATATATATATATATATAATTAGTTGCTAAAATTTTGACTAATAATTAAACTGTCATTTTCAGGAAGATGAAAACTCTTTTTTAAATTAATAACAAAAAAAATTAAAATTTGAGTTTTTTTTTAATTGAACATTTTTATTTATTTATTAAAGAAACAAGTATGACACATCAAAGCAATATCCCATACCGTCACTATAATCAGTTAATGGACAGATTTATGTTGTCTTTTATTTTTTGTCTGACTCAGAATTCTCCGTCAGATCAAGCATGTCTTATCTGTCCATCAAACACATTTCCACCAATGAAGTCCTGGGGGTGGCCCACGTTAGTCAACGTAATGTTGATGACTCATCCACTTCCTTGGATTTGAATTCCACGTGGAAGCCACCACCACCAATAATAATAATAATAAATAATAATAAGATTTGGGTGAAATTAAGATAATTATTATTGATTTTCCAAAATAAATTAATTTAATCCAAGACAAAAGGTACGTAATTAATGTGGTTTGTAGAGTGGTTAGCAAGCTAACATGCCCAATTAGAAACTTTCTTTTCGAAGGGAAAAACCAATTTTTTTTAAACTAACTCAATTTTAAATTAAATATTTTTATGTTGTTGGCTTAAGAGTAATATATTGTTCTTGCCCATGGACGACGTGATTTTTATATGCTTATCGATTCTTGTTTAATTTTTCAGTTCAATTTTGTCGATAATACGACATAACAATTCAAGCCCACTGCTAGTAAATATTGTCCGTTTTGATCCATTACATGTCACCATCAACCTCACAGTTTTAAAACGTATCTATTAGATAAATGTGACCCCTCTCCAACCAAAGTGAGATCTCACAATCCACTCCCTTTGGGGGCCAACGTCCTTGCTAGTACACCACCTCGTGCTGTCTCTGATACCGCTGTGAGGTCCCGTATTAGTTGGAGAAGGGAACAAAACATTTCTTATAAGAGTGTGAAAACCTCTTCTTAGGACACACGTTTTAAAACCGTGTGACGGATGATTATATGTAATGGCTAAAACATATGATATTTGTATCTCGTGGGTTTGAGTTTAAACTTAGGTTGTTATATATTATTTTCATGGCTAATTTAAGTTTAGCTTAGAGTTTAATAGGACATAACTATATATATATATATTTTTTTTTAATACAACTCTAAAATCAAATCTTTAAAAAAAATTATCGCTTACAATTTTATTAAATTTAATGACTCTCGTCGTCTAGTGGTCGTAATATCCCAATACCTAAAAAAAACAACGCACTTCGGTAAATTGATAAGATTAAACACGGCTAAATATAAATAAAAATAGAAGATAATATATAGTAACGAACGAATGCATGCAAACATCATCAGTACGACATAAAATTTAATTAAAATTTGGAATGAAGGTATCGAGATTAGTACAATCCCCATAAAAAAGGATCGAAAAGTAAAGAAAATTCGGAAAGGAAAAAAAAAGTTAATAACTTTATATTATTAATGTTTGTGTCTAAATTAATTCTTTACTTGTACCACTTGACTTATGTGTGGCCTTAGTGCACATCTTTATTTCTTCAATAATGGACCTTAGTGGAACATTTTATTTATTTATTTTTATTTTTTGAGAGAAAATTAGGAAAATAAAAGAATGTTTGCCCTCTTGGGTTTTTTTTTTTATTATATATTCATCATTAAAAATAATATTTTTGTGGAAATTTGCATGCATGGAAAATCAACTTTTATATTATTTTAAATATTATTTTAAATACGTCACTTCCAAGGTCTATCATATCATTATCCATCCATTAATGTCAGTGAATTATAAATCTTGATATATTTAAAATGTATGATGATAATATCGTCATTATTAATGTTAACATTAATGGATAAAAAATATTAATTAGTAAATATTTGTAATTGGTCGGTCATATTTAATAAATAAATAAATTTACGTTCGAGAATTGAACCTATACAATATAGACAAATTAAAAAAAAATTTAATTTAACTGTTAGTTAATACCACAAAAATAAACCACGTCAGAAAGTAAAGCAAAGTGAGCGACGTCGGAGTCTTTTTCATAGTCCTAATCTCTTTCATAGATTAATCGGAAAGTTAATGAAGTGGGATGTAAAATAAAAAAAGAATGTAATGTGATAATAACTAAACATACAGCTAAACGTAAACTGTTTGATCTGTAATTGCTGATGGAATCAACATAATTTTAAAGTTGGTTTATGAAGAGTAGTTAAAGTAGACCATGAAGATAAGAAGAAGAAAAGTAGTGTTAGGTTTAGTGTTCGTGAAAAGGAGACATCTTTAAATTTAAGTGCCTTTTAGAGTTCGAAAATGGAGGTCTTATTCTCTTTGGTTAATGGAATTCGGAAGGAAGATTATAAAAATCGGTGACGACATGGTAGAGATAGTGACTTTCGATTGTTTTAAGTCTTTCTTAATCATCATAGATTTACGATCGTTCTTTTTCGAATGTGGTTTTGGTTCATTCAGGTACCATTCCTTTACTTGGATGTCACGTGCCATTAGCTTCCCCCTGGTTTGCCTCAACATCACATCTTTCTATACCATTTGTAACAACCCATGTCCTTTAAATTCAACACTTGATAGCCCTGACATTCTCCTGCAACATGGTCATGTTACTTACTTCTTGTTTTTTAAGAGTGAAGACTACTTGTAATTAAGTCGTCTAAAATGAAGATATACCTTGTTGGTATGGATAGTAACTTTCAATTATTTTAAATATTTTTTAGTCATCTTATCATCTGATCACTCTCATTCGGATGTGGTCTCAATTCATTCATTTAACTCTCATTTACTTGAATGTCTCGTTAATAGTGATCAAATGACCAAAATAGCCCCTCAAATAAGAACAATCCATTCGATAAAGATCCAAAAATTTTGATAAATAAAAAAGAATAGTTGAAAAATATCTAACCTATCAAATATCTAAAAGGAAATTTAACTTTAAGAAGCTACCAAATTAAAAAAAAAAAATAATAATAATCATAAATATACATTAATTATGAAAACTAGAAAAGTCATACATTTTAGAGTGAAATAAATACTAATTATCAAGAATATTTAATTATAATAACTCAAATTTTAGGCATCACATATACAAAAAAAAAAAACCCTTATATTTAAAATTTAATAAATAAACTAGACCCACATTATTTTTATGTTTTTATTTATTTATTTTTTTCGGTCTATTTTTGAAAACGGAGCGTTAGAAAAGTGGCAATCCGGTCCAATTACGCCGTTACCGTTATATCTAATATTTTCCATGATTTGAAATTAAGTGGGCCTGTTGGGCTCCACACATTTGAATTTGGGCTGATTATTAGTCTCCAATGAACGGTTTCCATTTCTGGAAAATAAACGAGATTTTCCTTCTACCTTCGATCTTCGTATTGGCCGGCGCCATTGTAGAGATCTGAAAAGTCCATCTCGGAGGTCGGAATCTATGGCCGATCACCACCACCACCACCACAGGCCTCACCGTCTCTCAATTCCACCGCGCGCCGTTGGTGCCGCCTCCTCTCGACCTTCTTACCCTCTCTTTCCGTATTCGTCTTCAACCCCAACTCCCACTCCCTCCAAGAGCCGCCTCAATTCCAAATCCTCCAACAAAAGCTCAATTTCATTCCTGTTTTTGCTTCTGTTTTCGCTCCGTTCACTCTATTCGCTCCTCCCATTCCTCCGCTCTTCGCCTTCTTTCTCTCTTTTCCCTTTTTCTTTCTTGGTTTCTCTCTTGTCCTTTCTTCTTACTCTCGTTTTCTCTCCTTTTACCGATTCTTCTTCCGCCTCCAACTTCTATTTTCACAGTTCCAAGCAGAATCGAGATGTTTTCTTTTTCTCTTCGATTTCGCAGTCGCAGATTAAGACTTTGGTTGCTAAGTCTATTCTGCTCGCGGTTGTTTTCCTTCTTCGATTTCAAGCGCTGTTGTATTGTGGAACAGCGGCAATGATTCTAGCTGAACTGACCGGGAATGTGGTGGCTCGATTCTTGGCCGAGGAGCGGAATCAGGCGACTATGGGTGATCGTACTCGAAGTCGGTCTTCAGAGGTTCGCGGGTTTTTGTCCTTATTCTTTGGTTTGTTTCTGTTGTCTATTAGTTGGGACCGAATTGATTGCTTCCCTTTTGCAACTTCTTTCATTGATAAATACGGATTTTCTGTGCTTCCTAGAGAGAATTGTATGAGAATTTGGCCTATGTTACTTCCTTTTCTTTCTGGATTCTTGGCTTGTTACGAGCGGATTTCCATGAATTGGGGGACTGTTAGACAATTGGGTCAGAAACGAGTTAGATTAGTTTCACTGTTCTTCACGACGGTCATCCTTTTTGTTCCTGCTGTAATTAGTATGATCGTGTTTGAAGCGGAGGGGAAGAGTGTTTCCTTAGGAAATCTGGCATGGCCTCTTGCAAACACTGTAGTTTTTGGGGTTCTTTTGAATGAAAATTATGGTGATGATAAATTAGTCAGTTCAAAAGATTTTAGGAGTGAATTTCTTGTCACTTTTGTTTGTACTGTTATTCTAGAGTTGCTGTATTTTCCTGAACTCTCTCTATGGGGATTGTTATTATGTGGATTACTGCTGTGTGTGGCTGTAAGAGAGTTAGATCCTGTTTACCTGAACTATCTTGAGCTTGGGGTTGATTCGTCGGAGTCCATTACCACGACGGTCATGAGACCTATTCACCACATTTTGACTGAGCGGAAGTCTCGAAAGATTGCACTTTTCCTTTTGATCAACACTGGCTATATGGTTGTTGAATTTGTTGCTGGTTTTATGAGCAATAGTCTTGGGCTGATATCAGATGCATGTCATATGTTGTTTGATTGTGCTGCTTTGGCTATTGGACTTTATGCTTCATATATTTCTCGCTTGCCTGCGAACAATCAATTCAACTACGGGCGAGGGCGATTTGAGATTCTTTCAGGATATGCTAATGCTGTTTTCCTGGTATTGGTCGGGGCGCTCATTGTATTGGAGTCATTTGAGCGAATTTTGGATCCACAGGAGATATCTACAAACAGCTTATTAACAGTTTCTATTGGAGGGCTAGTTGTAAATGTGGTTGGTTTGATATTCTTTCATGAAGAGCATCATCACGCCCACGGTGGATCGGGATCTTGCTCGCATTCGCACTCTCATTCTCATTCTCATGCGAGCTCCCACTTGTTTGCAGACTCTCATGACAAGCATGAATCTCATGAAAGTTCAGTTTCTGTCCATGCTGGCCATCATGAGAACAATCAGGTCGACGTTTGCAGTGAGATTCACCTCAGTAACCACCATGACGATCATCATCATCACGATCACTCTGACCATTGTGACCACAACCATGATCACGACCATCACCATCATCATGACGAATCTTGCAAGCAAGACCACCATGGCCATGCTCATGCTGAATCTGATGTGCCCAAAATGGTTTCTCACACTGTTTCAGAAAGTTCACATAGCCACCCTTCAAGACAGCCTGTTGAGGGGACAGTCCGAAAGAAGCACCACCATCACCACATTGACCACAACATGGAAGGGATATTTCTACATGTCTTGGCCGATACCATGGGGAGTGTTGGTGTCGTTATATCGACCCTTTTGATCAAATACAAGGGATGGCTAGTTGCTGATCCCGCCTGTTCCATATTTATTTCTATAATGATCATATCTTCAGTCATTCCATTACTTAGAAACTCTGCAGAAATCTTGCTTCAAAGAGTTCCCAGGGCACATGAGCAGGATCTGAAAGAAGCTGTGAATGATATTATGGCGATCTGTGGAGTCCAAGGCATTCAGAACCTGCACGTATGGAGTTTCACTAACACCGACGTCGTGGGAACACTCCGTCTTCATGTCTCAACAGAAACCGACAAGCCTTCTATAAAGGCAAAGGTTGAACACATACTGCATGATGCTGGAATCAAGGACTTGACATTGCAGCTGGAATATAATCGACAATGATCTTGATGAGCTTCTTTTTAACATTGTTTTCATGACTCACTTTGATTATTGGATGATTGGGTTAATCTTCATATTCCTAATCCACAATGTCAGCTGATAGACTCCTTTAAATCGATGCGATGCGTCGGGAGTGAAGTAAATTATCCTTATACATTCCTCTTCTAGCCCTGCAAATGCATTGTGAGGAATCTGAATTGATTCTTGTCAAGCTCAGGGAGGAGTTTATAGTTCACGTTAGGCTTGAATCAGCCTACATATTTCCATTGTTGCATCACAGAGAGTGATAGTTCTGTGTTGAATCCTTGTTCTACATTCTTATATACTGACTCAAATGGTAGATTAGTGTCAATGTAATTCATTTATTTTGCTGGATGTAAAGAATGAATTCGAAATGATCTTAGTATCTTTCACTCTGTCGAAATTCGCTCTTCATTGTCTCTCCATTTATATGCATAGCTTGTTTGGACCGACTTTTCTAATGCTTAAAAAATGCATTTGATTCTACAGTTTACTGAATGTTTTTATTGATCTTTAGTTCAAGATAATTCGTATCACTATCACCACTTGAGTCAGTATATAAGAATGTGTCTATATACCCTAAAGTCTTTATTGATTGAGTTTTTCAACTTAATCATGATATCATAATATAGTCTTTATTTGTTTAGTTCTTCAACTTTATCGAAGGTATGAACAGCTAAAATATGCATAAAAGCTTGTGAAAAGATCTTGGGATCAAGAATTGTAGTTTTCAAATTGTGTTCGTATAGATTGTTTTGTCAGTCACCATAGACCTACGTATACAGTGCTGAAACGTATCAGTCAGTTGATATTCGGTACGGTTGCTTCCATTCCCGATCTGTTTCTCTGTAATTGTAAAAGAAAAGTGAAGAATATTGGATTTTGGAACGTCACTTCACTTTTGATTCGATGAATTTGCAGTCAACCATGGAGGTACAATCACTAAGATAAAACCTACAGATTTGATGCGCAGGGTCTTCTAGGGTTTTTGTTTTTCTTTTAGTATGGAGAGCTCGGAGAAAGTGGTTGCTGTTATCATGGTCGGCGGCCCAACCAAAGGTATGAACAAAATTTCAAATCTCCGATTCCCTTTCCGGTGATCCGAAAATCTTCTCTTCTGCTTGGCTTGATTTCACTGGTCTGTTTTTCCTTTTTCTTATGCAGGCACTAGATTTCGGCCTCTTTCATTCAATACTCCGAAGCCTCTATTCCCTCTGGCTGGCCAGCCGATGGTTCAACATCCTATCTCTGCATGCAAAGGGGTTAGATTTCAGCTGAATCTTATTTCTGCTTAGTTTGGATGAGTACTTATGATGAACCTTGAATTCTTGCAGATAACAAATTTAGCACAAATTTTTCTTGTTGGATTTTATGAGGAGAGGGACTTCGCTCTTTACGTTTCTTCTTTGTCCAATGAGTTGAGACTGCCTGTGAGGTGACTGCCGATCATCCAATGTACTCAACTTTAGTTATGGCTTGTGCTTATATGGTTCTGAAATGGTGGAGCTTGTTTGATTGTGTTGGCTTTTAGGTACTTGAAGGAGGATAAACCCCATGGCTCAGCTGGGGGTATTTATTACTTCAGAGATATTATCTTGGAAGACAGCCCAGTTCGTAACCTTTGCTCTTTCCTTAGTTTATGTTGTGCTATAATGTGCATGATATGAACTTTATTGTGCATAAGTTCTTAGCTAAATTATAAATATAGTCCTTAAGTTCTTCAACGTTCTTCGACGTTGTATGTCGATTTAGTTCTTGTAACTTCAGAAGTTCTCACGTATTGTTTATTGTATGTTTCGCAGTCGTACATCTTTTTACTAAACTGTGATGTTTGCTGCAATTTTCCTCTTCCAGACATGCTTGGTTAGTTTTATGACCTGTAATTTTTTCTAGGAACCAATTTGTTCATCATCTGCTGTTAACCCAAGTGTTCATAGTAAAGTAAGCGGTGTTTTTCTTTTCTTACTTTACAGAGGCACATAAAAGATCCGGTGGGATGGGAACCATATTAGTAAAAAAGGTTGGTGTATGATCTATGGCTTTGGAAAACAAATGATTCTCTAGCCAAAATCAAAAACATGTTGTAACATTATATTCATTTTAGTGCACTTTATGTCGGATTTATGCTCTTATTTGGCTTCCTGTACAGGTTTCTGCCGAATCGGCTAATCAGTTTGGTGCACTGGTTGCTGATCCAGTCACAAATGAGCTGTTGCATTACACAGAGAAACCCGAGACTTTTGTATGACGTGGATCTTTTTTTTTCTTTTTTCTTTTTTTTACTTCAGTTTATCAAACCTAATCTGCTAATCAGTTGTCCAAGTTCTTCGATATCTATGTTTTCAATTACTGTTTTTTCTTTAATTGCAGGTGAGTGATTTGATCAACTGTGGTGTATATGTATTTACCTCGGAAATTTTTGATGCCATCGAAGATGTCTCTGTTCATCGGGAAGGCAGAGGTTAGAGTGTAAATTGATGCTATATTTTGAACTTTACTATAACCATTTGTGATCATGTGCTATATTGACAGCAAATGATGTTTTGCAAGCATATCTTTTTTCATAATACTTATAGTTTTTGCAATATTCATTTCAACTCTAAATAGTCTGATTTTTTTTTTTTAAATTTTTTGCAGCTAATGTACGACGTATCTCCAGCTTTGAAGCTCTACAATCTGCAACAAGGTTAGCTACACACCACATTGTCTGTTTTTCTAACTTGAAAATCTCTTAATTTTATTGTAACGGCTCAAGTTCACCGCTAGCAGATACTGTCCTCTTTGGGCTTTCCCTTTCGGGCTTTCCTTCAAGGTTTTAAAATGCATTTGTTAGGCAGAGGTTTCCACACCCTTATAAAGAATGATTCATTCACCTCTCCAACCAATGTGGGATCTCACATTTATACAACTTGACGAGGCCCTTGGTTCTTGAAAGAAAGAAACTTGGTTCTTGAAAGAAAGAAACAATAGAATTTTTTGAGGGTTCGAGAGGTTTCTGAGTGAGGTGTGGTTTTGTATTTGGTTCAATGTGTCATTTTGGGTGTCTTTGACTAAGTTTTTTTTTGCGATTACCCATTGGAAATTATTTTGTTAGATTGGAGGCCTGTTTTTGTAGGTTACGACTGTATTCCTTCATTCTTTTCTCAACGAAAGTTCGGTTTACTCATTAAAAAAAGAAGAAAAAAAACTCCCAGTTTCATACAATGATTTCATACTAAATATGCATAATGCTATATGTTTAGAATATATATATATATATATATATATATATATATATATATATATATATATATATT